ACTTTAGTAACTTGTGCATTGTTTTACTTACTTGCTTTTGACGTATCCGACATAACTACAAACACAGTGATCTCTCGCGCTCAATCCACTCAGCGTGCTTTGCTTATCAGCTCGCGCACATCAGCTATACAGTACGGTGCCCACGAGGTGACATGGTCGGTAGGTACCATACCCAGTGGAAAACCCCCAAAAAGTGAACCGTACCGAGCCGTACCATACCATGCAGTGGAAAAGCGCCATTAGTTTTGTTGTGGCCATGACATAACTCGTGGGAGCATGATAATATGTCGTGGCCACGATATATTAATTCGTGGGAACGTCATATTAACTTGTGGGAACGTCATATTATGTCGTGCCCACGAGATCATTTTGTCGAGGTAATGACATCCTTATGTCGTGGCCTCGAGATGTCATTTTGAGGGAACAACATATTTTTCTCGTGGCCACGAGTTTAATGCGTAAACAAACCTGCGTGACCATAGCAACCCGGGATTATCAAAGATGGATAAATGTTTTTTATTAACATTAAATATTTAATTTAATATTTGTTTATTATTATTATTATTATGATTAGGGGAGCGCGGGGCACAGAGTAACACAAGGTTAGTTGTAACACACGTGGTTTGAATATTTCCACACATGCTAGTATAACAAAATGTAAAGTATTTATTAGTTACCATATCAACATTATATAGAAAAAAATGTGGGCAAAAATTCTAAAATCTTTTGAAGATATCGCTGAACATTTATTTTACCATAGTAAAATTAAAATTCTGGCTTAAGTAAAATTTTCATCTCAGTTTTTATTATTCATTTAAAATGAGACAAATCTGCTATTATTTTAATCTCCTATCTGTTATTTATCAGTTCAGATAGTTTTTTAATGATTTGATAACTAGCAGAAGACACTAACCAGTTTTAAATTCCTGTTGCGCAGATGGGGCACGTTGTAACACTGCATTACTGTCACGAATCCTGTCCATGGACTTCCGTTTATTCACCACCAGAGGTCACCCTTCCATTACATTGACTCTCGCACTACACAAACTGTTGCATGTCATCCCGGACTACAGTAACAGTTACAATGTGCTATTCTATGACATTAGCGATGTAATTTACACTATTTTCTTAAATTAATTTTAATGAGAAACAACGAGAAACAGGTGAATGTTAAATAAATGAGCGTGTTGTGTTTTCATTTACAAATGAAATTACTTGAATGTTTAATTTCTCAACGAAACACTATAGTACGTATAATTATGGTCTATTAATTAGCCAAAATAAAATTAAATATATGTTCAATTTAAACTGCATTCCAGTAAAAATGCCAGTCAGCATAATCAAAGCTTTATTGGCATGTCGAGCATTTACAGTAGGGTATTATTTTCAAAAGTATTCAGAATGTTACGTAAAGAGATCGAAATGAATGGAAAAAACTAATATAAAAATATAACCAATAATAATAGGCTAATAATAATAATAATAATAAACAAATAT